TAAATCATTCCTAAATAAGAATTTCATAAAGTTACTACGTGAACAGGAGATAACTAGTTGAAGCACACAAAACATGAATAAGAGGTAATTTTATAATCATCCACACAAACCCAAAATATCAATTTATATATAGATTTTATCCTATATTTATAATATTGGAACTGTAAGAAAAAAATATTATAATGAACTTCATTTTTTCTCGAGTGAAGTAAGAAATCGTGAAGTTTCATTAAACTCCGTGCTGATGAGTTGAAAAATAAAATTATTCGCAAAGTTTTATTCCGAACTGACAAAAACAGAGAGGCTTCTGGGAAACCAGAGGTATATTTAATTTCGATTACTTTGTTTGCAAATAAAATGAAAATGGAACAGAGCTATTTAAAATATAGCTTCACGCTAGCGTTCATTAAAAATTTAAGTAAATGAATTCGGTTTAAAACGTTCAAAGCCCAGTGCTCACTAGACCGCTCTGTCTGTTGTTGTGAGTATATTTTGTTCACGAAAATCTTTACACACATACTGATAGAATATCTAGATTCGATATATATATAAGAATTGTTACTATAAATTGCTAACTTACTTCAATTAATGAAATAAAATATTATTTTACATTTAAAATACCTGGTAAATAAAAATAAATCGTAAATATATTATTAGATTGCACCACTCCAACCAAATGTTTTAACAACAAGCGACATCATCCCAGGACGGTTAGAAGCCACGTAAGAATGTAAAAAAATCTATTGAGAGGCTAATTATAGATTACATTAAGACTATAATGAAGTGATTGGGTTGATTAAACAAGATCAAAAATCGCGTTCAAAAAAAAAGTGTGTTACATGTACGTGAAGATACATATCGTGTTGGCCGCAGCTGGCCTTTACAGCTTTACCGGACGTTAGGGGGCGAGTGCAAATGGCACTCCAAACCCGCGGTAGGACTTATGGAGCAGGCCAGCTCATGCCCGACGGATACGACTTTAGTCTGAGGGCACCACTAGGGGTTCGAACCTCGTGGTGCCCGTTTGAATTGGATGAGGGATCGATCGGAGGGACGCCCGGAGGCGCCGGTGTGGAGCGCCCGGGCACGCGCAGGCGCCCGGTTGATTGCGCGATATGGTGTGTTGGGGGTCGTCGTCTTCGCCGGCGAGGACGGTGTCGTGTGTGTGTGTAAAAGTGTGGTCGGGGTGGAACGGGCGGGCTCGTGGGGAGGTCTTCTGCCGTTATGGGGTCGTCGGGGTCAATGAGAACCGAGACCGCACTGACTATAAGCAGATTATGGTGGGATTGGTCAGAGTCAAAGTAGCGTCGAGATGCTTCCTTCATAAACTGCTTGATGGAGGGCAGATTAAGGTCGCGGTGGAGATCTACGCTACGAACGAACCACGGCGCATCAGTGGGGTAGTGTACCGAGATGGGCATCTTGCGATTTTTCAATAGTAGCAAAAAACTAATACGTGTAAATATAGAGGAATATATCTGTCAATAATTTATCATCTACCCTCTAATCTTCAGTTTACCTCTGACCATACCGGTAGTAACAGTTCCTAAATACGCAATATCTTTTATTTTCATCCCTTATAATCATCTACCCTCTAATCTTCAGTTTACCTCTGACCAAACCGGTAGTAACAGTTCCTAAATACCGCGAACTCAATATACACATATAAAACTTTTTAAGATCATATAATATAAAAAGTGGCTATAGTATAAACGTTAATGAGAGCAGGAAATGTTTTTACATATTCCGATCTAAAAATAAACATTAATATAAATATATTTTCTCATACTTTGTTAATTATATTTAAAAAACATAACAATATTAAGCGCTCATACATTAAATATGTGCATAAATAAACTTTTTACATATTTTATAAGGTGTGTTTGAAAAAGAAAACATTATAATACACGTGTACCTAAAAATAGATACGAATATTAAAACTCGAATAAATATTTTGTTAGTTACCAATAAGAAATAAAATATTTTTACACGTTCTGATCTAAAAATATCGAAAACTTTTAGAATTTACCATATGAATAACAACCCTAAAACGCCACAAATCCAGACAATGTGGATTGGTCCGATTGTATCCAGAACGGTTTAGTTATTCGATCCAAAAGAAAATTCGGCCGATTTTAATGTTCCCCATTTGTTAGGCTTCGTATCAAATGGCGGCCCTTTTCCTTTTTGGAGTCGAAATTTTATTGCATTCAAACGGGCACTGTACGAGTTTATGGACGCTTTAGTATGGTCTATTATTATTTAAATTATTTATTGTTGCTTATATTAAACCTATTATTGTAACCAATATTCTTAAAAGCCTAGTGATTTACAAAACCTGATTTATAGATGAAATATATATTTTACTGTAGGTACTATTAAACTGCCTACGCAATAATGAGTTTACTTGTGAATGGTACTCCAGGCCGTGAAACTAAAGTGGAGGTTCACGGCCTAGAAAAACTTAATATTTTGAACCTTTTTTAGTAAACTACCTACGGTATCAGATAGTTTTATTGACGTTTAAAAAAATAAATTTCGTATTGTTTTAGTATTTCTAACATAAGTGAGATGGTAATTACCTGTCCTAAATAAAGTTAAGGGGCGTGAAGAATAATTAAAACCAACTTCGCCAACTAATGATGAAACTTGCCTGAAACTCTAAACCTAAAGCTTTAAGACTGCATGCAAGTTTCATTATAAAGGCATCAACAGCAACACTAATAGTGTAGATGTTCATAACGCTTGAAGTAAAGCTATTAAATTTGTCGTCCAAACTAGGCTCAGGACGCTGACGTTTAATTAGTGTCTTCAGTAGCATGCATGCTGACGATTTTGTCCCTAAAGGACTAGTTCATTAGAATTGTAAACTTTCCATATTATTCTGAATTATACTATTATAATAAACATGTCACAAATAAAATATAAATTATAATCATATCTAGATGGAAATATATCATCCCTTATGGAAAATAGGAATCATCGTTTAAAGACAGATTTACTGAAGTAGACTTCGTATACGTAGGCGGTATCTCAGACTATCAGTAGTAGGTAATATATATTACTGTTGATACCAGTAGCTTGTTTGAGGTGGTACAAGACAGTGATACATAAATTACAGGATAATAGACAGGACATCTTAGTCCTCCAGAATGGTAATGCATCAGTGGTATCGCGAAGGTCACATGATACGTGATGACAACAGCATCACGTTACGCCTGCGGTATTACTTAATCGTTACCATTCCTGAGCTCTGTATTATCACTGCCTTTAAAACTTAAACAGCGCAAGTTATTTATTGGTAGAAACAGGGGAGGCAGAGGTGCAGACGAGTTTGTACAAAGACTCGATATAAATATATCTGGTAATGGCATAGTATATACTAACAGAAAGTACGTTTTTCCAGAAACTTTTTCCCACGCACGACCACATTGTGCAATCACCTAGCACAATGTGGTCGTGCGTGGGAACAAGTTTCTGGAAAAACGTAATAGTATTTTAAAACCAATATTATATTGAAACCTCCCAGAGAAGAGTTTATTGCTTCTTAAAAGGCCGCACTTGTGATTCCCCTTCTGTGGCGGGTTCTCATGAACGGCGGTTAACACTAACCACCGTGAACCGTAAGTTTGTTTGGCTCTATGCTATATAAAAAACAATCGTATTATTTATACTTTAATATACATCATATTTGATAAAAGTATTCCATCAGTTGAATAAACGATTGAATGTAATTCTCTTGAGAGCTTGTTAGCAGTTCAATAAATTCCGTAGCAGCCCGGCAGCATACTTCATGCTCTTGATTTATTGCAATTGCTTCAATGCGCCCATGTGTACTTTCAGGTTATAGGCTTCGTGCTTATTCATAATATGGCAGTTGTCATACAAAAATCGACTTAGTAGGTATGCATATTTATATTAATTTATTATTATGTCAAAATTCAACAGGCGTACACTATAAAAATTTAAACTTTTGAATAGACGAAATTGCGATAGACCTTCTTTTTGAATTATATCAAAAGAACAATAAAAAAAATATCGTATTTAATATATACATAAATGTAAACAAATTGCGAACCTTGTTTGTTAAGAAGAAAAAACATTCATATATATAATTCGAATAGTTATATATATTTAGTTCTGAGTATCTGGACGGCAATTTGCAAGCGGCCGGCAACGGAGGCCCTTTGGTGAGTAAGTAAATTGCGACCTCCGACTTGCAGATTAAACCGGTATTAGATTTGGTGATACAGTTTAACATAGTTGACACATTGTATATTGCGTATATGTCACAAAGTCGTATCACACATATTAAATGAAGATGACATTTAAGATCTAAAGACATTTCTGCTTTATTTCCTATAAATAACTAAAGATAGTATATATCTGTGAGTGTTCCAATGAAATGTCAATAATGAGTCTAATAAATTACGAATTTCCTTCTATATATACTACCTAATTTTTAAATATTTATAATTTCAATCTCATGGAAAAACTTTTAGCATATATTATGATAAAAAGGGTACACATGTGCTGATCTATTGTTAAAATCGAGTAAACATCATCCTCAAACAAAGTTTAGGTGGGTGCTTTAACAAATTTCGCCGCGTTTTATATAAAACAAGACTGAACACGGATGAAAAGTAGGTAGAGTGAAACAAAAAAGGTTTCCCTTGTTATTCAAATCAGTGACAAACTTCCACCGGGAAGTACTCAGAAAGATCTTGGCTTTGGCTTTTGCACCGTAAACGAGTAGAAACTTTTTATTTTAGCATTTTCAATATTTGCCTCGCATTATGGGACTGGTGTTGGACGAATAAATATATATCTGTCAGGAATAGTCACTACTAAGTCTTCTAAGATGAGCTATCTCTTTCAGATAGTCTAAAGATTTAAAAGCAATAATTTTGTGGTTTAAATGCAAAAATTTACATATTTACTTATTTCAGTAGATAAGAATAGAATAAAACTACAAGCGTCAATATAAAATTTGAACTTACCAATTTATCGAGGCATCCGTGCAAACTGAAACAATAACATAATATTATTAGGCATATAAATATGTTAAATATTGTATATGTAATTTATAAATTATATATACTTGACACAAAGAAAATCCAAAACTTTTATAGAGACTGACCGCGTAGTGTGTTTTAAATATAGTGTTTAAAATAATAATAATAAATTTAGATAATGTTATTTGATGTATTATTTTTTATCATGTCTTAAACATACGTCTAACTAAGTAAATATGAAATTGAAACTAAACAATTAGTGAAATTCAAAAGTACCTAATGTATAGTTAAGAAAATATTTTAAATGTCTGTATATATTTTAATTTCATATTTATAGATGTTATAATACTATTCTTAAATGTCTAATCTTGATATATATAATAATTAACAAACTTAAATATTAAGATCAAGATTATAGATCGGAGTATTAAATTACCTAATGTATAGTTAAGAAAATATTTTAAATGTCTGTATATATTTTAATTTCATATTTATAGATGTTATACCCATACTATTCTTTTATATAAATTTAATACTCCGATCTATAATCTTGATCTTAATGTTCTAGATGGTTCCTAAACACACACAGCATAATAATTCTGAACAAACTTAAATATTAACATTATATGAACATGAAATAACGCGACGACATAAAATACGGAAGACAAAAGGATACATTTAAAAGCCGCATCCGCTGGTAGATGGCAAAACAAACCCCTAGTTCTAAGCGGAATACCTCTGGAATAGACTAAATATTTTCCGGAACAAATCTTGTACACAAGACGGCTGTCACCGGCGCCGTGTCGTTCCGGACACTGCGTTTTTAAATTACCCTTAAATAAATGTTAGCTGAATTGTAAAATGGTTTTTGTAACAGTATAAATGTTTAACATACATTTAATTTGTCACAAAATTTACACATACTACAAAAAGAAGTATCTGCTACTTTCATCTATACTTTTTCATTAGACAATTTTAAAGCTTAAGCTTCTTAACAGGTATAAGTTAGTCATTAATAATATTATAATTTCATATCAGTTAGTTCAGTTTTTATCTTTATCGTTATAAAATTTGGTGATCAGTTAGTATTTATAATGAAAAAATATATATCTCTGGCCTATTACGTTATTTGGGTGACAAAAGTCCTACAAAACCTAATCAGTAATAACAACACAGTCAATCTACAGCAACGAACGTTTGTAATCTCTCAACCAACCAACTTACCAATAAAAAATTATACAAAACAATGGACTAACTTAGTAGTTGAAGAATGTTTTTGTGTATGTTGTAATATTTCTAAAATTTACTCTCTAGTTAGACATAGGTAGTAATTAAAATGACTAATTAAATTAATTATTTAAGTAAAAAATATAATATACATTTTGAAAATATTATACAATGTATTTATAATAGAAGTTTTTAAAATAACTGTCCAAACGGATATGATATATATGAGAACTAGTATATATATACAACTATTATATATGATATGATTGATTCAACGAAGACCAGTTGCAAACAGAGGGATCTCGTCAACAAACTCTCAGTCCCAGCAAATATTTGTTATGTTCGTTTCATTCTACCTTCATTCAAGTATCATTTCCAAGTAAAATATTGGATTTAAAAAGCAAATTCTTACTTTGAAAACATGTATTATTTTTATATTCTATTTATTTAAGAACGACTAACAAGGCATACTTATTTATCAATGTAAAATTCCTATATACTAACAATTACATTTTATGCGTAAAGTATATTAGATTTAATTTATTAAAACATGCATTAATCACATTAAAATTATGTTCTATGTATAATAAATGTTCCTGGACAATTAAATAGCGCCATATAGTAGCACGGTAACCAGAGCTTGTGTTATGAATACTAGACAACTGACATAAATACTTTGATTCTTTTTTGTAAATAGATACATAATATACATAGAAAATATCCATTATTTAAAAGAGCAACACATTCTTCTTGTGATGATACAGCTTTCCGAATGAGCGGTAGATTAAAAAAATGTGATGACTATTCAAAAGTGCTTCAATGTAAGTTTATTTGAATAAATGATTTTCTATTCTATTCTATTCCAGATCAATATAAACAATCATATTCATGAATATAAATGTTTGCACCGTGCGAGGAATCGAATCCGCGACCATTGGAAGTAAAGCGGTGTGCTCTACCGCTACATCACCGAGGCCGTCAAATATATGTATTTATTGGAAAAATACACATTCAAACTAGCATTTGAATCTCATATTTTTTACACATAATAAAACTCTATAATCCTTAACTTAGACAAATAAACGATGACAAGAAGACAAGGGAAAATACTGTTGTACTTGTACGCAGTGTTTAAGTTTCCATTCTATTATGATTCAGGCTGTTTAGTTGTAGGCAAATAATTTACATTAATTATATCTATAATATTTATTATTGACATTAAAATTCATACTTATATTTATCATAAGTCTGTATGTCTGTTTGTTACCTTTTCACGTACAAACGGAATAAAACGTACCACGATTTTTTATCAAAAAAAAAGCAGACGCAGCAGCATGGGAAATAGCAAATAATATAATAAAAGTAACAAAATATAAATGAAATTGTTAAGTTAGAACTTTGACTACAACTTGGAATTTCAGTTATTGGAAATTATACTTTTTCAATATTTGAAAGCAAAGGACAAAATAGAGATGTTTGGAAATTATATCTCGTTTTTATACAGTGAAATTGTATACAGACGATTGATTATTGTTAATGAAAATCCGTTCATCCGTCGTCGAAAATACATTTAATAAATAGCCGGAATATTAATAAAAGCTCGACAAAGCCACAGTTATGATAATTGGAAACAAATATTCACTTCAGATATCTGATTGTATACGACAGATTTATATCAATGATTTAATTATAATTAATAATATAATTTGTGTTATATTTTTATTATTAACCATTGACCTAGAAAGTCATGTCTGTGTATCTGTTAGAGGTATCGTAGCTCCTAAAAAAAGGACCGATTTTTGTGGTGTTTCTTGTTGGATAGATGACATATATGGTTCTTAGGTACAATTTGTTAAAGCTTTTTTATTTTGTTTTTTTTTCTATTTAATTATTATTAGATCACATACTGTAAAGCAAAGCCTAATTATAATTAATATCTATTGTTTATAATTGATATTTATATTGATGAGATGCCTTTGAAAACAATATAACATTTTAACTTTTAGAGTGTTTTTTTGAAAGTACCTATTGTACTTTCAATAAATGCCTGTCGCTTGGGTCATATTTAGTAAACTAGGCAAATTATTTAGTAGTCTCTACTTTTTACTTATAAGGCAAATATAAAAAGGGATATCTATATGCATGCATATAAAAATAAAAATACATTAAAATATTTGTTTTTGGTTTAGTAGGTATTACATACTTACTTACTACTTTAGGAGATACTACAGACAACTGTACAATTTAAAAAATAGACTCTACTTCGTTATATACATAAAGATAAATAATGTCACATATACACGAACAGTGAGATTATATACATTTACGTGTATAAATTTAAATATAGTGGCCACTCTATGAATATTAAACATCTGAAAAAGCAAATTCACAAAAAGGAAACCATTTCAGCATTAAATTCCCATAGAAACACGGAAGAGCAGCGTTAATGCAGAGCAAACATTGTTTCTTATCAAGGAGACAGGCACAAAGGACCGTGGCAACGGCTTGAGACAGATGTGTCCGTGTCATACATACATTTGGGGGCAAAAGGATTTCCTTTTGGTCCCAAATGTACAATATTTATTGTACTAGATGGAATTAAATATACTTGGAACTATATAGATTTAAACTATACGAGTACTATACTTTGCTGTAATGTAATATCCATACTAACGTTACTAACCTACTATAAATTAAAAAGTATTGTTATATAAACACAGCGCATCTAGTACCAAACTTAGCAAAGTCTATACTACACAGAAAATGTCTAGTTTATGACGATCTTGTATATTATATTGTTACGTATGATGCGAGAATCGAACTTCCGACTATCAAAAAGGCACAATGCCTTTTTTTAGACCGCTACCTCACTGAGGTCATCTACCACAAACCACATAGAGATTAATTATTACACTGTTGAATCGGGAAATAATTGTATCAATTGTATTCGTGCATTTATATATTAAACGGATAATAATGCAACCTTTCTATTATTCACATTTAAACTGTCAAATGACACATTGCGGTTACACAAAATGTGTTATTGTTGGTAATTTTATCATAATGCATTTAAATTCATGTACATTCACATTGTGTTGCTTGTTCCGTAGCAATAACATATTATTTTTATTAAGTTTATAGGAACACACTTGTGACACCTAGCCCACTGGGTTTCAGTCTAAAGTCTTATCTGAGTTGGTTTTATTTACTCTAAAGTCCTTTCACGGGTTTGGAGTGCCCTCTGTTGCAAACAACATTATAATATGTATAGTTCGAAAAACGTCTTAGAATTAAGTGATACTTGGCCATTAATGTACCTTCTTCTCCTACAATAAGTTTATCATAGTTAAAAAATTGTGGTAATAATTAATTTTGTGCAAAAATGTGTTCCATTTAAACAGCAAGCAATGGTATGTAACATAAAAATGTCTAAGTTTTGGTGTACATATTTCGGTTCTTTTATTGATGATGTTGGAATAAAATGGCGGGACATAATTGGAGGATGATATAATAAGCATAAGATCAGTCATCCAATTGTGATGAATTCTCAAGAAAGAAGCGCGACAGTTTCCATAGAACCACATCGCGATAAACTCGGTGATGATACATCGGTATAGTTGGTAGCAAAGTCCTCATTACATACAAATACTTTCCCCGACATATTCCTATTTAGATGGCCAATAATACGAAGAAAGAAGATGAAGAACATCAGACTGATTTTTAACGATATGAAATTAAAATTAAAACGTAATAGAAATCAAATCAAAATCAAGAATACTTGGA